ATGGACCAACCATAGTTTCTCCTACACACTTCACAGCCCGTTTTCATTCCCAGGTCATCAAATACAGATGCGAGGTGTGTTCAGTTAGTAGCAATCTGCAACTTCACTGCCAGATTCCACTAAATACTACACACTGGACCTTTAAGTCACAGAACTAAATACTGCCAACTGGGCAAAACAATTTAAAGTCTACAAAGTCCAGCCAGGAAACCGTTGCCAGAGAACTTGCCCTACCCACACCATCTGAGGTCTCCCCCAAGAATACTGACCCAGACTAATTAAAGCTAATGAAATATCCGCTACTTCAAAGGATGCAGAAATGTTGTGATCCTTGTCGGAGTCAGAACGGGAGTTAGTGCCACAGGGAAGAGGGTAACAGCTTCATTATTAATCTCCACTCTTTTATGTGCTAATCAGGCCAGGATCACTGACTGAAACAAAGCAACAGAGGAACTAAACAAAGATGGACCTCTTACCCATCGGGAGAGAAGTTAAGAGTAATATGGTAAGTAAGCAAATGTATTGAATGTATTATCCTACGGAACAGTTTAACAAATCCCAGGAGAGGAATTATTTGATATAGATACTCTCTAGTGTTCAACGAGGAAGTCACTGTGGAGCTTAATCCAAATAAACTCTCTGATCTGGGAATAACTAGGATACAACTAAAAACCCTGCCAAAAACCACAAGATCTAATCCAGAATCCGTTTTATAACCAAACAAACCATTTTCTTCTTCACCAATTTAAGGTATTCTCTTCTTTTACATCGTACATTAGCATGAAGGTTATCAAAATAAATAGATGTATCATTTCCAGCCCTGTCTTTGACACTGCCGTGAGGAAAAAGAGGTAATTCATGCAGCTGCACATGCTCTCTTTCAATGAAACCCTCAACATCTCTTTCCTAAAGCAGAGCGGCACTAGCCAGTTCTCCAAGGCAACACATTTGTTGTTGGTACAACAGAGTGTATCATCATGTGGCTTGGTGTAATAATAAGGCTCAAGTCAGAGACTAAGACCTATCTGCAGTAGTCTTTCACTACAATGCCCACCCTGAGTGCATTGTACGGTCATACTGACAATTAACTGTTTGAAAATGGAAGCTTTTATCAGTGGCTGACAAACATGTCCTTGAACAACACAGCTCTGTGGTTTTGTCTGCTCTGTTACAACCGCCTTATCCACAAAAGGGAGTGAGCCATCTGATTATAACGAGAGGCAAGTTTCTCCTGTACTCTGGGGTCGGTGTGTGACCACCTTGAGGGGCCCCCAGCAGTGCAACAACAAAGACCTCACTAAAATAACTGCAGCTGCCAGCACTCATCCCTCTGGGTAACTACCCAAGAGTCTCCCAGTATATGACACACAGGGACACACACACAGGCAGTGCCACTGAAACACACGTCTCAAAAACTGCCCGTGAAAAAGGCAGAAATACAGAGTGGGTGGCCTGGCCACAGACTGTCCACTGCCCAAGCCAGACTGACAGACAGGCTACATTACCCTGATGTATTGTCCACTTATGCTGCAACATCTGTTCTCCTCTAGAGATAACGGAAGAATATGAAACTGGATTGTGTTTTTTCAGCAGCCGCCCACTAGCAATTGATGTGATTAAACCAGCTGAGGCTACACGGGAATGCAGCAACCTGTCTGTGAGTCAGCCTTTACTCAAGACCCAGTGCATCAAGGACAGCCTGACCCTCGAGATTAAGTCAAACGTCCCTGAAGACTAAACACAGAACTCTCTGCTCATCCTTTCCCCGAATCAACTGAGAAACTTCAAGCTGCATGTTTAATCTCCAATCAACACGTCGCACAGCACCGAGTAACTCAAAGGGTGTTTATGGCACTATATACTGAAAAGTCCTTTATTTTATTTCAATTTAAACATTTAGTCTAGTCCGTCTTCTCACTCGATATGCAATGTTTAAATGATATCTGCTCATTATAAAGTTGCATTTCTTTGGGCCGGCAGGTTCATGTTTTGACTGAGACAGACTGATACGTTTTGAAGATTGCAATGTATCAGCGTTTCTTTGAGGTTTGTTTACATTGACAAATCTGTCCATCGCTTGCTCTGACAGTCGCTATGTCTGACTGCTGTGCATCTGGGAAACTAACAAGCTGCGTAAAGTTATGTTACTACAATAACTGGCAACCATGGGCCAAAAAATTGTGTTCTGATATGATATTTCTTCTGTTGTGTCATGTTCGAAAACTATCACAAAATGTCTTGTTTTAAACACAGGGAAACTTTTTTAAATGTATACACTAGTGCAGAGATATGATTTCTCATGATTTTCATCCAAAATTAGCACTGGGAAGATATTAACCCCAGCAAACCCTTACCAACCACCATCGCCATTAATAAGTGGACATGGTAACCTTTGGTTCTTTGGTTTCTAAACAAAGTGGCTAATATCCTTGGTGCAATGGGAATGTCTGTAATTGAGCCTGTGGACAAGGAAAGGCTCTCACAGATGAGATAAGCTGGGTTTTGTCTCCCAGAAATCTCTGCAGGGATCTGAGTGTGTAGGTCAAGACAAGAGGTTAGGAGGACATTGGACGCAACTTCCATATCTCCTGAGAAGATTGCAGACTATGATTAAGGGGAACAAAGAACAACAATGAACAAAAGAGGTTCAAAATAGCCTCATCTCAGCAACAGTTTAGGCTTCAGATGTTTTTTTCCACAGCTCCAACGTATGACGCTGAGACATCAGGAAATGGGAATTCCTTAACCATCGGTTAAGTGTAACACAACAGGATACAAAGCATAATGGGGGCAACTGTGCCATGTACGTCTCCCACTTTAAAGTAGTGGAGAGGGAAGGAAGGTAGAGGTTTGGTTGAACAGTCTGGACAGCCAACAGGACAGAGACACTCAGAATACTATTCAGCATTCAGCACAGGAAACCAAATTTCCTTCCCATTGCTGTCCTGCTCAGATCTATATAAGGAAATCCCCTGCCTTCTCCAATCATAGCTCTTTGATCATACTGAGGAGACTACAAATGTCTAGCCACCTCTGAGATAAGACAATATATAAAAGAAAGTACTGCATAATCTCAGCCTCCTATTTCATTGCCACATTAAAGCAACATTGACCTTTTGTGGTTACAAAAGTCAGGAAGTTTATGGAAACTGAAGCAATAAAACAAAGTAACGCAGGCATAAAATGTGAGCACATTAACAGAAAATGTGCTGCCAACAAAGCACAAACTGGCTTTGTGTTTTAAGTCTTTCACATTCTTTTCTGCAGGAGGTTAAAATTAAACTTTCATGATCTGCAAAGCTGTGTTTGCAAGAACAAATGACTTCTCACAACTATGCCTTAATCAATCACTCTTTGTCGGTATTAACTAAATATTTTCTTCATTAACTCAGCCCGCAGTTAAACCTTAATAGGTCACAATCACATGCTGTCAACACCATACGCATTAACTGTGTTAAAAGCTTCATGGGCTCCTTTAACCACCCAAATGCAGCGAGGCCTCGCGGCAGTGCTATTTCTGTGAGCGAGGCACATGATGCTATATGCCGCAGCTCTGATGTCAGCCTGCAATGCCGCTTCCAAAACAATTATTCTACCATGATGTAACCACATCCACCAACCTGTCAAGTGCCAGCGTCTGGCACCAAGGACAAAATAAGAAGCAACAGCTATTACCAGGCCTTTGTCTTTATTAAGAATGGAAATGATCTCACCTGTCAGAATATTAACATTTATCTGTTTTGTTAAAATAATTTACTTCAGGGAAAAGGGATAGGTATTATAATGAATGACTAGGGACATACTACATGTCGGCTGCAACAACTGTGATTTGGGTGACAAGTTTCTGACGCTGTGGTGATGGTCGATAGTGAAGACAACATTAAGGAAGTTGAAGAAAGAATCACTTGTATTCTCCTTTTCAGTAACACACATCTGGCAAAGCCTTAGTGCAGACCTTCTGCTGGATCACTGCTCTCTATCAAAGAGAAAGACAGGCAGCAACTACTACTATTCACTAATGAGACATGGCCTGGATGCTGTTCTATGAGTATGTGTGTAACCCACCACCACATATATGACAAAGTAAATGAAAAAGTATAAACAAAGCTACTGTGGGGACTATAATTAAAGCACGGTATGGCCCGGTCCCTTGCAATACCATCATGCAATGTGGTGGGGAGTATCAGTATTGGTCTATCCAAATAAACTATTACCAGTTGGTACTCCTAAGGCATCCTTGGAGGCTAAGGCCAAGTTGCACGCAGACATATTCAGTGAAAAGGTCAGTAACTCTTAGTCATTACGCTGTCTGCAATAAAAAGAAACCCAGGGACGGCAAAAACAAGAAAAATTGATCAAGAACAGAAGCGTATCTAGCAGCAGCAAACCACAGGCATGATTAAAGAGTTAGACCCTTCATTTCAATCTGTTATTTAAATATTTTTTCGCCCGGCTACTGCACAACGTGAGATATTGGGGGCATGCATTTAAATGCTTCCTAAGCCTACACAAAATAAGAGAGGTTAGAAAAATGGAGAATGGATAGCGAATGGAACGCAATACAGAGGTGCCCTGCTGAAGGTTTTATTGTTCATCGTGCTTTCATGTATCTTATTGTACTGTCACCTCTGCCACCGGTTAAAAAGATGAAAGAGGAGAGGAGATGTTTATGTCTCAAAGACAAAGCTGAAGCCGTGTGTGTTATGACCAGAGTCTGGCAAGCTGGCAAGGAGGGAGGAGAGGGTGTAGCAGGGTGTGAAGGCATCATCATTCAGGCACAGAGAGAAATCATGCTCAAACACACACACACACACACACACACACACACACACACACACACACACACACACACACACACACACACACACACAAATGCTGCGTGCCTTTACTGAAGTCAGAGTCACAGATGGGGGAGCTTTAGAGGGCTGAGTGATCTGCCACACATAAACAAAATCTGTCACAGAGAACTGTAAGATTCACTAGATTTTTTTGTCCCTTACTTGTGGTCACAGAGACTGGAGGCCACGGTGTGCTTCCATCATCCTCTCCACTGGGCAGATCTTTGGAGACAGAAACAGAAGTACAGGAATATGGTCAGAAAAAAAACCATGCTTAGATTTACTTAGCAGGAGCACTATATTCCTCTTGAAAAAACATGAATCCTGCAAGTTAGTATATAGGTGGAAATCATAAGAATAAGTATTTCATAATGTGACTCTGAGCAACATTCCCTCATTTTCAATTTTGGGGATGGGTTAACAATCTAAGGAATGCATAATTAAAAGCATGTCCCATGAATTAAGGGCAGCTGTTGCTGTGGTTTCTGGATATCCAGCCTCTATCAAACCCACCTCCTGAAGCTTCATCAGCAGCAAAGTCCTCGTCGTCATCCAGTAAGCTCTGGGACGCCTTGACATCTTTCTCCGCCTCCAAGTCTTCTGGCAAAGGTACCTCTCCCCACACCTTGGAGGCCTGAGTCACCTGCAGCAAACATAAAGAGATTTATAGGGGTTGAAGTCTCCATTGAGAAAGGTTACACCCAGTGCTATACAGCAACCCTGGAAGGGTGGAGGGAAAACAAAAGCTGAGACAGGAAACGGGGCATTGTGGTGTGTTTACTTTTACCATTTATTATCTCTTAGAGGCCCTAAGAGTTCACATGCAAATAAAAGTTCATGACGCCAGAGTGAACGTAGCTCATTTAGGACCTTTTTTCACTGCACAAATGTCCAAAGAAATTATTTGATGTTGTACGTATTTCTAATATTAATGGTGGAAGTTGGCAGCAGATATTCACAGCTGACTGCAATGACCCACATATGAACACACACACAAGTACAAGCAAACACACAAATCACACATGCACACTCCACAAATCTCTCAAAGCCAGAGTGAAGCTGAGATCAGAATGACTGCAAGACACAAATCTATTTAAGTATGCTTTAAACGTCGTCCCTTCCAGCATACCACGACCAGTCCTCGTCCTTTATGGCCAACTCTTCGCTCTGGAATTAGGAAGGAGTCTATCACGGAAACATTATGTCACCAGCAGCAGCAGTAAAAACACCCCAAATAAATGCAGCACCTCAGAGGACAGGCTGCTTTAAAATCTGTGATCATCATGTCATTCAGCATGTTATATGAATGGAACAACAGCAGGAGTGTGACTGAAGGATGGGAGTAAACCTGAAAATGCAGTGTCTGGCCCCAGGCCACAGTAAGGTAAATTTAAAACTATGAGCATATGCAGCAGTAGGGCTGAAAATTAGACCTTGATACTTTTTTGGTAAAAACCGAAATGTATAATGTGTAAATGTGTAATTTTATTCAGGCAAAGCCATTAGTTGTGTTAGGACAACTTTTAAAATTTGAAAAATGTGGCTTCTAAGTTTAGCATGTGAGTAAGCATGCAAGTTGTGAACGAATTTGGTCAGAAAACAAAGTATTGTACCTATAAATTAGACCTGATAATCTCATTAAATGACTCATAGATGTGATTAAACCTGAGAGGCATATGAACATCTGTACCAAATTTCATGGAAATCCATTAAGTAGATAGTTCCATAGTTGTTGAAATTTGACCAACAGAGAAACAAGTTAACAATCCTCTATAGTGTTGTTTTGGAATCACAAAACTCCATGACACCAATCGCTACTCAGAAGCAGAGTATAGCAAGATAGTCTCAGCGTGGAGCAATAATGTATGAATCTACTGAAGTAATATATGAGTGCAGATTTCAATCACAACATTATCTAATGGAAATTCTTGCAAAACCACTGAAAATGACATTAATAAAAAGACCGCTCCTCTTACAACACACCTGACAGACACATACACACTCTCAATGAGGAAACACAAAGCTTAGCCAGCCACTCTCATATCTGATTATCTTGATAAAGTTCAGTGTGCCGGCCCGACTGGAGCACATTGTGGGTTTATTATCTCTGCTCTCACCATCTCAGCATCCAGACTGCCCAGAGTCTGGCTTTAAGTTTAGATACGACTCTGGCACGATGCCATCCCTGGCATTTCCAGTTGGCATGGCCCGCCAGTTCGTATTTCCACCAAACACTGTCATGGTAGTTTTCCCATTTAAATGGTTCCAGCTAATAAATAACTAGATCTATCCCCCCAAATCCTCTCTTCCCTGACTGAACACCCTTACAACAACAATCCCGGGCCATTTTCAAAGGGAAACTGCTGACTAACGAAATTCTTTTCAGTGGTGCCGACCAGCCAACCATTGGTGTGATCATCTCCTGCTTCCCACTCCCTTGGGATGGGGTATCATCTGGACATGCTGGATGGCATCTGGCCGAAAACCACCACAAACTTACAGAGTAGCCTATGATGGACGAGTCCATATTTGCGCCTCATGTTAAAGCTAGCATGTTAAGCTACACTTCTTTGAGAATGTCGATTAGGCCTCATCTTGGGGAGAGTTGGGAACTACATATGAATTTGCTTTCTCACTATGCTACTGCATTCTACTTCAAAAGTCTACCGTGACCTTTACTCTCAGTCTAGGAGTTGAGGCATGTCCGTTGTGTTAAAGTTATCTCTCCCTCGAGATAAACGTCTTGACGGACTCTCTAATTCTTTGAACTCCACCCCACCCAGAGGACACGGCCTCAGAAGCTCTCCTCACTCTAGTAACTGGTTGCAGTTTCCACTGGGACATATGGCAACCAGGTATATACTTGTGCATGTGCATACACATCAATATCATACACACAATGTGACGCACAGACGAGCACACACATTCCAACCAAAAGGAATTCCACTGTTTACTTATGAATTACTCTGCTCACAATGCACAATGTTTGCCTTGCGAGACAAAGTAGTAGCAGCCCTAGAAAGAGGGAACAACCGAATAAATGGATAAGGAATGACATGTGACAGTATACAGAAGCCTGCGGAAGGGCCTTATGTTTGCCCAGCTGTTGTTTGGAAGGACATAGAGAAACAACTGCGTTCTGGTCCGTGAACAATTAATAAGAAATGGGACAGACGCAGTAAATTCTGGAAAAACATTGATCGGGCTGAAATAACTGAGCCAAGATCCTTTCATCAGTCTACTACCACCAGCTGTCATCTTGCAGCTGGAGACGCCACTTCCAAACAAATTCGGTGTCCTCAACATGCACATTTATACTGCAAGCCCATTTGTTTCATGTCACAGTTACTGGCTATTAACAGCCAATCAGATTCACATGCTTCTTTGTTATCTGAAATGGATAAGAAGCTGTTTAAAGCTCTTCAAAGCTTCCCAATTCTCCACAGCTTTTATTTATGAGACCGCAAGAACAAATGTCTCATAACTGCCTTAAGAATGGCTGTGTCCACTATCAACTAACAACAATACATAAACTGATATTTTACACCTGTTCATAGATGTTTTAGACAACTACATAGATAACAGTATGCATCATTCACAATTTGTCAGAGGGGCAAATGTTCTACCATGTTACTCACAGTGTCAATGAAAAGTAAGATGGACTATGGACTCTTCTGGTGTTGTTGCATTTTTCATCCCATTAATGTTGACTGTGTGTTTTTAGAGTCAGACCAGTTTCTCCTAAGATTCTCAGTCATAGTGAATATTGCATGGGTTTAGAAAATTGCTCCTTGGTGGGACATTTAAAAGGTCATTTAAAAGGTAAGGCTGCTCATATCTGTTCTGTATCTGATATTTGTGTTATTGTCATAAAATTATTGTCATTGTCATAACAGATCCCACCTTGAGGACTAACAGGCAACACTTGTTATCAGGATCTATTCATTGTTGGTTTTGGTCTTTTCATGGGATTTGTTGATAAAAATCAAAAATACAGTCTTATCCTTTAAGCCTTCACATCAGAAATTTCCGATTAAGCTATTAAAAAACGTTCACAAGCAATTTCTTCAGGAAATCGAATCCAGAGGACAAGTAATAAGGATGCATGTATTTTGTGAGGGCTATGAGGGATACTATGACTTTGATAGTTTCTTGCTTTTCCACTGCTACTTATAAATGTTGCAGTTTCCTGTGATGCATGACCTTTTCAAAAACAGGCCTCGCATCTAAATTCCCACATAAATGATGCAGTAACTTTGATAAAAAGTGACTAAATGTTTGTTGTAATGTATTACATGTTGTGAGTATAGTAAGTTAGTGGAAGATGATGAAACCAAATGAACTTAAAGTGAGTTTAAAGATTATGGTATGCTTTGAAAAATGATTTGCAGGTGATGGATCCAAACAACCAAAACCACCGGATTGATCATTCAAACATATAAATATAAAAATGCAGGTGTCCACAAACCCACACACACACACAGACACTAACATGTGGTAGCCACAAACAGACACTATTATACACCCACACTCCAGCATTCCCATCCTGGTTACATCTCTGTGACAGCCAGAGACTGTCAGAGGCAGTGTGAGAAGAATTCTTCAGGGGACTTGATTCGCCCACTCTGCTAATAAACCCACTGATGCAGCTGCAGGACAATCTGTGAGAAACATCTTAAAGGCATAGCCAATGTGTTACAGAAAATAAGAAGCTGGGCCGAGTTCAGACTAGACAAGAGTCTCCCAGGAGCGATGGTCTCTTATGAAAATATGTAGTGCTGTTTCTGACAGCAGCTGCAAAGGTTTAGCATTTAAAGCATCTCCTGAGATCACACAACGTATCTGCTTTTGTCCCCATGATAGGCAAACACAGAAAGATGAAAGCTGAAAAAGGCAGGACGCTGTATTCCTCATCCCAATCAAATTGATTCAAACACCAAATTGTGACCTTTCAAGCAAGCAGTGGACATGCCCTCACAGGACAACCTTCACAAGATGAATTCCCAACCTCCTTGACCCTCCATCCCTCCCTAACCACCCTGCCCTCTCCTTTACTCTCTCCCCTCTTAAAGACTAACAATATCTGCTTAGACTTGAAGCAGCAGCATGTACTAAACAGGAATGGAATGTAAACTGCAGAGAGCATTAAGTGGATGAAAGCTTGACACATAGTCTTCTCTTTAGGTAGAATAGGCTGAAAAGAAAGAGCCTGCCAAGCACTACCAGGCACCAAGAAGGACTGAGCTGCAGAACCCTAGCACTCCCTTTACTTGACCCGCTGCTATCTGTGGAGTGGGTGCAGGAGTATTAGCAAGGTTGCATTAAATCAGGTCCATTACAGCACCTTGATAATGTAAAAATAAATAATGTGTGCCCATGTATACACAGGGAGTTTGATGTACAAATCCCAAGATAGGTGTAAGGTGTACACAGCGTTATATTGCAAACTCCTATTGTACCCAATTTCTGAGATTCCTTTAGTACAATTGTAAGAAAATGTTGGTTTTAACTGATACCATAGCATGTTTTACAGCTCTTCATGTTTGTGTGTGGTGGGGGGTGCTGTTATGTTCTTGGCCTTCTGTTGTAAAAGGGTGATGAAAGACAAGGAGGAAAAATAAATATTTCTTTTCCACACACTTG